GAGAAAAGAAAAGTACCAGGGATCCTGGGAGAAATGTATGATTGGAAAGTTAAAATACAAGATAGCTTGGAACATTTTGTAATGCCAGAAAGTAATGAAATGCTAAGGAAAAAAAAAAAGATGGCAAGGGCATGCCAAAAGGTATCAGCATAAAGGGACAAGATGGGACAATATGAGAAAGGAAATAAATAATGATGGTATTGACTCTCACTCCGTAGATGAAAATAATGAGCACATACTAATATAAATAATTATTTGAATAAATAAATACAAAGAAAAGCTCTTACCTACAGTACAATTTAAATAATTAATGTTGAAGGGGAGAAATAAAAAACAAGTAATAATTGTTGCAGTGAGCAGAAGTACAAGGAGAATTTGACAAAAATGGAACACTTGCATGGTTTCAAAGTAACTCCCCCCAAGGCATGTACTAATTTCAACAGGAAAAAGAGTAATTTTCCAGTGGGGATACCTGGCAGACGCCACCTTACCAAGTGATCAAGATGAACATCAGTAGTAATGATCTATTGATATTATGGTCCATTGATCCATTTTCCTGAGAGAGGCCACTGTCACTTCTGTGATAGTCTTGCCCAAAACACATACCCTCAATCTGATCATGAGAAAACACCAGATAAACCCAACTGAGGAACATTCTAGAAACACCTGAGCAGTGCTCTCCAAAAAGTTTGAAGGTCACAAAAAGCAAAGAAAGACTAAGGAGCAATGTGGCATCCTGGATTGGATCGTGGACCAGAAAAAAAGACATGCGTAGGAAAACTGCTGACACTCCAAGAAGGTCTGTAGATGTGTTAATAGTGTCCATTTGCTGGTTCCTATCAGGTGCCAGGGCTACATGTGGGATTTAAACAATCGGGGAAGCTGGAACTCCCGGGGAATACAGGAATGTGCCACTGCAACTTTCCTGTAAATATGTTTCAAAATAAGGTGATATGTTTTCTAAAAAGAGAGAAATGAGTAATTTTTCCTCACACATAAAAAAGGAAATAATAGAAAAATTTCAGCCATAATCCTGAGATGGAAAAGAACCATCGCCAAAAGGCTGAGTCTTTTAAGTATGAATGATGTTTAAAAATTGTTTGTGAACACCGACGATGCTGAAAGCACTTTTCATCTGAGAAGATCCATCCTATGTAAAATTGAACCCACCTTCACCCACTTGCCCAAAACCAATTCCCGCATGTGATAATTACAAGAGTTCCATCAAAAGGTTGATGGGACTTGGGAGGCTCAACAAGGGCTGAGCCACATATATAGTTTTACCTGATGGAACAGCTAAGCGGCACTTCCCCCAAACCTGAATAGGATTGTTTGCTGCCAGACAGCTCAGAGTATCTTAAATCTGCAAATTATGGCCTCCTTTGGCCAAACACATGAACAGCTGTAGGCTATTCCCCAAACTGACAATACTTCTGTACCTTACCCTTTGAAACCTTACCATTTGTATGTCTCCACCTTGGCTTAGGACATATTGTGATAATAAATACCATGAGATCCTTAGATAAGGAGTAGTCTTCAGTTCCTTTAGCTGAAGCTCCTCTGATCCCCAAATGTAGAGGGTCCCCTAGGAATGCACATGGATAATCTTTACATTGATGTCAGCTAGTCCGAGGTGATTGGCACGGCAGATTCCTAATATTGGCTCTCACTCCATAGATGAAAAGGACTCCCAAATGGCAGGAGACTTATCCGTACTGACTTCTTTTCTTTATCCGTGTGCTGGGAATGAGGGAATGAATAGGACCTGGGCACACCCAAAATGCCTGTGATCCTAAGCTTTTCAGGGAAACCCACCTTTATTCTTTTGGAAGTAAAGTGGCTCGGTTGTGATCTGTCTCTCCAGCAGAAAAGGGCAGCGGCCCACGTGGAACCCAGCTTTGAATCTATTTCTGTGTAGGCTCTCTTTATTTCATATATCTCAATCCCTGGCTGCCTCTACCAAGAACCTGTTTCATCTCTCTTCTGGACAGGGAAAAGGAGATCCCCTCCAACTCAGGCCCCCACACCTAATGCGTTTCAAAATCATCTTTCGTTTTTTGGACTTCTTTGAATCATCTATGCATCAGCTCCTTCTTCCAGAATGCTGGACCCTTCATAATGCTGGGACAAGAATCCCAGCACCCACTCCCTCTTGCCATTCCTTTTCCATCTCTATTGCTTCTGGTCCTTGCATTATACTCACCTAACAGGCTGGCTATATAATTTTTGTATCTTTTGTTTATTCTTTGTCCTTCTCCATTAAAAGGCACACCTTGAATACAGGTGTTCGTTTTGTCCACTGGTGTATTCCAAGTGCTTAGATTAGTCCTTGGGTGAATGATGCTGTCAAGAGACCAAATCAGGGACTTTGAATTCTTGTGGGGAAAACCATGAAAGGTTGTGACAAGAGTGGCCATGTGGACTGCCAGCAGAGTCCGAGAGTGCTGCGGCCTGGATGCAGTGCCAGGGCCCCCCAGTATTGGGGCTGTCATGGAGGCAGTTTGCCCATTGTGGACATGACCATGTTCCAAAAATGCGGTGCTCCACAAAAGACAAAGGTTTATCCTAGTCACGGACTTAGGCTAAAGCAAACAGCTAAAGCAAACAGTGAAAATCCCTGGTGGACAGAGATGCCCAGAGTGTGATGGGTCTGCTAGGCACATTCCCACCAACTGAGTGGCTTAAATGGCGGGATGTGTTGCTTCATCATTCTTAAGGCCAGAAGTCTGAGATCAAGATGCAAATGTGGCCGGTTCCTCTGAGAGCTCTGAGAGAGAATCTAATCCATCCTCTCCCCTCGCCGCCGGGGTATCCCGCCACCTTCAGCATTTCTTAGCTTATAGAAGCGTGCCGATCTCAGCCTCCATCCTCACATGGTGTCCTTGCTGCGTGTGTCTGAGCCCAAATCTCCCCTGTTTTTAAAGACACCAGTACTAGTGAACTTGGCCTAAAAGCTTTATCTTAACCAATCACATCTTCAAAGGCCCTGTTTCCCAATAAGATTACACTCCGAGATACTGGAAGTTAGGGTTTCCACATTGGACTTGGCCAGGGGGGCTCAGTGCACCCTCACACAGGTCTAGCATTTGCACTAAACTGCATCTCCAAGGTGAACGCGGCCTCGAAGGCTGTTAGCACAGACGAGGCTCTGCTGCGGTCACCAGCAACCTCAGAGACCAGGGACTGAAAACAACACGTCCTTCTCCCTCCATCCCGGGAGGGTCTGTGGGTCTCCCCCAGGAGAGTTTTCTCCTGCTCTGACTCAGGGATCCAACCTGCTGCCTCCTCTGGTCACAGCACAAGAGATCGGGAAAGGTCCCTCGGTACCACTGCTCGGATGCTCTAACCAGAACCAGCCAGGTGGAGTGTATATGAGCACTGGCCTCTGCCAGGCTAGCTGGCTGTCAGGGAGTGTTTACCGAAGGCCCATGCCACTCTCTGGAGGCACTCTCACCCTGTGTGCATACCCAACTCCCATCCTTCCCAAGGGGGCAGCTATTTAAGGGAAGCTGGAGTTCAGAGTACAAAAAACCAGCACTTGGAGCTATCAACGCCGTCGTTCTATGAGAAGTAACACCCCTAAATTCATGCCCTGTCAGGGGAATGGGTCCTGCTCTGTGGTTGCCTTTAAGAGTGGCAGTGCTGTGTATATGTGTCCATGGGTATTTGTGTATGTTGCATACATGAACATACACATGCATGCACATGATTTTGGGGGATATGCACAAATGTGCTGTGTAGGTATGTGAGAGATTGTATAAAAGGTCTGCATTAGCGGGTGAACTCAGGAGTGTGTATATGCATGCATATGTGCGTGACTGTATCTGCATTTGTGTATGTGTATATGTGTAAGGGGTTAGAAAGTCTTGCAAAGAGAAGGTGCTATGCTTTAGTTTTTTGGGGGGAAATTAGAGACTGGACTTCATAAATGGAAGTCCCAAGTCCTGGATCTGGTTGGAACAAGTAAGCTATGTCTAATGGGTGGTGGGGAGAGGTGCACAAACTATGACCTTGGGAATCTCCGAGTTGGTTGGGATGACCTGGTTGCAACCTCCAGGAACTCTCAATCTGATGGGGAGCATGGACATCTCCTGAGCTTACCATGTCGGGGTCTCCTTGGGTCTGAGGCCTGCATGTGTGTGAAAACAGTCAAACAGAGCTGGCAAGGATCAGGAGGCCCCGTGTGTGCACACTTCTTATGTGATCGTATGTGAGAAGGTAGTCATCCTGGATCGAGGGGCATGTCTTTGTGTTCCCTTGAAGGTTCCCCTGAGCAGGGGCCAGGGAAGAAGCTGGGACCACCTGGGAGAGGAGTCTAGGCCAATCCATCTACATTTCTCACGCAGAAAACTGTCCCCATGAAGATCCTTTTGTTGTTGGCCTTGGCCATGGCCTTTGGTAAGAGCAAACCCTGACCTCAGGCCAAAGGGGGCAGCCCAAGATGAAAGCAGCCTTAGCCCCCAGCTTTCCTTCCCATTTCCACAGACCCTCTCTCTCAGTGGGTGGGAGAGAGGCCCTGTGGGAGGGCAAGGAGCAGAGAGGGACAGAGAAGGAGGATACAGGGCCCCCCGGCCCCATCACCAGGCAATGTCCTTCCAGGCCCACTGCAGACCCACGGGAACTTGCTGGGTTTCCAGAAAATGATCCGGTTGGCCACAGAAAATTATGCTGTGCCCGATTATGTCTTCTATGGCTGCTACTGTGGCTTAGGCGGCCACAGAACCCTCAAGGATGAAACGGATCGGTGAGGCCATCCCAGCCCTCCCCTCCTTCTGCCCACTCCTGACCCCACAGGGCTAGTAGCTGCCAGGACAGACTTGTGCCCATCGTCACAGAACCCCAGAAGGTCCCAGCTGGAAAAGCAGCCAGCATGTTGGAAACTCTGCTCTGGACCATGCAAGGTCATGGGGTCTCTGCCCAGGGCCAAGGGGCCAGACCAAGGGGGACCCGGCTCTCTGGAGCTGTGGGGAAGCTGCCCCAATCATCTCTCCTCACCACAGGTGCTGTGCTGCACATGACTGTTGCTACAGCCGCCTGGAGAAGCGGAAATGTGGCACCAAGTTTCTGAAGTACAACTTTGATTACCGAAAGGGCCAAATCGTCTGCGGTAAGGATATCCTACAACTTCACCCTGTCTCCTTGGTATCTCTAATTGAGTGTCCGCTGTGCCAGGAACTGAGCTGAGCACCAGAGATAGAAATACAAAGGGATGCCCTGGCCTGTTTGGCTCAGTGGGTAGAGCATCAGCTGTGGGTTCAATTCCAGCAGCACCTACCTCTCTTGCTGGCTGGATCCCCATCCCCCAGGAGGCAACCAATCCATGTGTCTCTTTCACATTGATGAATCTCTCTCTCTCTTTGTATCTCTCCTCTTCCCTTCCACTCTCTCTAAAAATCAATGGGAAAATATCCTGAGGTGAGGATTTAAAAAGGAGAGAGAGAGAGGGGAAGAAATACAAAGGGACAATGTCCCTGCTTCTGGGAGCTTGAAGGTGAGTGGGAAGTAAAGAAAAGGAAAACACTAGATGGGAGACTCCAATAGGAAGTTAGCCAAAGGGCAGGGCCCTGAGCACAGGCTGTGGTCCAGGAAGGCTCCTGACCTCCAAGCTGAGTCTTTAAGGCTGTGCCGGGACCAGGCGAGAGGAGGGCTGGGGGTCTTCCTACAGCAGAGTCAAAGGTCCCCAAGGGAGCTAAACCCTTCGGTGAGCCTGAAGGAGAGATGAGGCTGAAGGGACAGGGAGGGGCCAGGCCAAGCCCAAGGCCATACTGTATGTAGATTTTGTCATAGAGCAGTAGGGAGCTCTTGAGCAAAGGAGTGGCATGAACCGGTTCACCTGAGACCAGTGGAACTTGGGGGCAGGGCATCAGTGAGAAGACCATTGCCATTCGACATGTGACAATGGCAGTATTGATGGGAAGGGTGGAGAGTGACCTATCAGGTGGAATCAGCAGAGCTGATTGGGTAGAGGGATAGGGAGCTGCAGGTGATCCAGGTGGGTGAAGGGAGGAGGAGTTCTATACAGACACGTTTAAGAGGCTTCCAGAACACCCAGGGAGCCATGAAGCAGGTGGCTGGGCAGCTCCAGGGAAGGGTCTGGATGGGCCACGGGTTCAGGAGTCACAGAAGAGAGCTGAGAGTGGGATATGTTCACCCATTTGATGTCTAAAGGCCCGGAAAGATGAGAGGAGGGTCATCATTCAAAGATGAAAGATCAGAGAGGTAGAGGAGAGCTGAGAGAGAAAGTCAAGGAATGGACAGCAGCCACTTAACACCAAGTCTCCAGGATAATGGCTGACAAGGTTCCTCGGATTTGGAGGCAGGAAGACCACTGAGGACCTCACTGGGCTGTTGCCATGGAGTCTGAAAGCAAATCCAGATGGGGTGTGGGGGGGCAGCAGGACACCAAGACATCCCGGAGCATGTTTGGCTCTGAAGGGGAGGAGAGAGCTGGATGATCAATGAAAGGGTTTGCCCAGTGCCCCCAGACAGCAAACCCACTAGTGGGATTTTGAGAAAGTATTGCCTCTCCCCAACTCAGAAATGATGTCTCCCTGTCATGTATTTTAGGCTTTGGGTTGTAGGAAGTGACATGCCCAACTCCAAGAGGCTTAGATAATGGGGAAGCCTGATTGGTCTGGTAGAGGGCAGTGCCAGGGTGGGGCAGCTTCTCAACCATGTGGTCAGGGACCCAGCCTTTTCCACACTTTCTGCTCCCCGACTTTGGCACTGCCCTCTGCCAGACCAGTCAAATGCCAAGATGCCTGGTGCCACTCCAACATCATGGCCTGTCCCTATAGATGAGGCTTTCCCCCTTGGGCATCTCTATCTGGGGGAGGAAATTAGTCCTTCCCACAGCCCCCAGGAGACAATTCCCCTGGGGCTCATTGGCCAGAACAAGGTCACGTGCTCCCAGAGACCAATCACTGAAAGGAAAAGGGGACGAGCATGACTGCTTTACACCAATCACAAGCCATTCCTAGGCCCTAGGGCCTGTGGCTTTGCACCTGGACACAGCTGTTGGGAAGAAGAAAGAGACAATGGCTGTCAGGAGGAGTCTCCCAGTGCTGGGGGCTGTGTCCCCATCAGACTGGGCGCTCGCTTCCGCGGACAGGAGCTCTGTCTTCCCATCAGACATACCCGGATCCTAAGTGTTTGCCTCGGACTAGGCGCCTCTGGAGGACAGGGGCGGTGTCTTTCCCACAGGTGCCATCAGGTATTACCCAACCCTCAGCCAGTTCTATTTTCTTGTGATTTCAGCAAAGGAGGATTCCTGTCGCAGGCAGCTGTGTGAATGTGATAAAGCCGCTACCACCTGTTTTGCGAGTAACCGGAACACCTACAAGAAACAGTACCAGTTCTACCTCAACATACGTTGCCGTGGGAGGAGGCCCCAGTGCTGAGGGTCCCGCACCCTGGAAGCCTCGCTGCCCACACGGAGTTTCCCTCTCTGACCCCCCTCCCCCGCTAGTTCTCAGAAACGAAGGAAATAACCCTCCATCAAGGAGCCCCTTGACCCCCATAGAGAAGCCTTCCTTCCAGAATGAGAAGCCCCAGGCCTGTGGCCTGTGCCTCTCCCCTCTTCCTTGGGGGCAGGAGGTGTCCCCTCCCCACTGTTCTCCGTGTCCCGCTTCCTGCTTAGCGTGGCGGCCACATGCCCAGGTTTCTTCTAAATAAAGCAATTAGTTCATTGGCAAACTGTGTGTGTGTGTGTGTGTGTGTGTGTGTGTATGAGGGTGCGTGCGAATATGTGTGAGTGTGTGTGTGAATGTGTTCATGTGAGTGTGGATATGAATGTGTGTATGTGTGAGTATGTGTGCATATGTGTGAGTGTGTGTCTGTGTATTCATGTGTCTGCTTGCCTTGTATGTGTGAGAATCTGTATGGAAGTGTGTGTGTGTGTGTGTGTGTGAGAGAGAGAGAGAGAGAGAGAGAGAGAGAGAGAGAGAGAGAGAGAGAGAATTGGTGTGAGTGTGTATGTGCGCACGTATGTGTGCATGTGAGGGTGTGTGTGTGTGTGTGTGTGTGTGTGTGCGCCTGCCGTGGTGTGGGAACACTACAGGCAATGGAGTGTCGGGGTTATAAACACAGACTCAGGTCAGACGGGCTGAGTCAAATCCACCAGCAACACGTCCCTGAGCCTTTCCCCCTCGTCTCACTGGCAACCGCTTTGGGCCATTGGAGAAGTGAGAGCGGTGCCAGTGCCAGTGAAGCCGGCTGTGGCTGCTCCTTCCCGGGGCCAGAGCCGCTCCTGCTGGCCTCCTGGGGGAACAGCATTCACACCTCCACGCGCCATATTCTCCTGCGATGCCAGTGGGGGAGGCAGGCAGGGATTGCTGGCCAGCAGTGGACCCAGGGCATTACCCCCTCCCTGGGCGGCTTCCGGGCTGCGAGTCCCACAGGCCCTGACCAGAAGGGTATTGCACCTCGTTGCATGCTGTGTCCCGGCCATCTTGAAATTCAGCATAACCTAGGGCCGCGCTTTTTATTCTGCACTGAGACCCATAAATGGCGGAGCGGCTTGGGACTGGCCCTCCTGTCACCCAGGTTCCGCTAGGATAGTCCCACCCGGGCCATCACCATCAGGGCAGCTGGCGTGGGTCCCTGCTTGGGGGTGCAGGTGGGAGCTGGGCCTTAACCAGGCGTGCCCAGAGTGGGTGCCTTCTGTCACTCACCTCCAAGAAAGGCTTCCTTTTTCTAATTCGGCATAAAGACGCTTCCTTTGCTGGCAGGAGCCCTGCTGGTGTCCACAGGCACTCACAATAAGAGAAATGCAAATTAAAACCCCACTGAAATATCATTTGTATGTATCAGAATAGATAAAAATCCAAAAGCCAGACAGCCTGCCCTGTTGGCAAGGCTGTGGGGGGAAGGGTACGGGTGCTATGGAGGGCAAAATGCCCCCAGAGGGCCAATTGGCGTGTCCATCAACATCATGAATGTGTTTGTCCTTTGGCTCCGCGACCCCTCTTCCAGAAAGGTGCTCTGTGAAGGCACACAGGCACACCCAGAGCAATTTCTGGGAAATGGGTTTATTACAACATTATTCTGAATTGGATTGGAAATAACCCAAGGATCCGTGTAGAGCGGACTTAAGAAACAAGCCATGACACCTCCAAATGGAATACATCTGTTTCAGGAGGGAGGCCTTCTCTGTGTCTCTGTGGCATCAGGAAATCTCCCTGAGGGCAGCGAGGGAAAGGGACAAGGTGAAGGCCAGCGGGCGGCAGCTGCATTTATGTAGGAAAGGGTGGAAGTGTGAACATGTTTTTGCTGCTACTGTCATAAACCATTAATAACCGCAAGAAGTTCATTGAAATGGTTGCCTATGGAGGGAAAGCAGGGCGAGCATGGGAACGGGGCGGGCACAGATGTGTGAGAGGAAGATTCCTCCATATGTGATTTTTAGCCCCGTGATGTTATTTCCTATTCAAAAGAAAGTGAGCATCAGCAAACGCATTCCTCTGCCTAAGACAGCCTCCAAATGTTAGACAATATAGTCTCATCTAGGAATAAGCAAACTACGGTCTATTGGCCAAGTCTCTAGGCTGCCTGGTTTTGCACAGTTTATACAGTAAGAATGGTATTTGCATTCTTACATGGGGGTGGGGATGGAGTGGGGTGGGGATCAAAAGGAGGATATTCTGACAATTCTGTTTCAGGTGGTGTATGTTGTCAGCTACATTTCCCTTCCTTTGGTGGGTGTGGTTGTGTGCAAGCAGGTAAATAATTTCCACGGAGGAGAAGGGGTGAGCCCTAGATTTGAAGATTGCCATTTGGCATCTCCCCTCTCCCCCCACCCTGCCCAACAGATGCTCTGGTGAGGATTTCCTCATGAAAGCAGTCACACCAGCAGGAAGCAGCTTCCTGAGGTTGAAATCAATCCCCCATGGGATTTGGGGGTGCAGTGGAGGAGGAAGTAATGAAAGAATGGATGAGCAGCCAGTAGTAGTATTGTCTTTACCAATTTCTCGCCAGGCAAGGTATCTGGACCTGAGCATCTCAGCTCTGGCTTCCTGGACAAAAGGGCAAGGGTCCAGGGCACAGCCCACAGCCACCCACGAAGTTAAGCTTCATTCTTCCTCACAAGACCCTCTGTAGGTTCCTTTGTTAATGCTTCCAATCCAAGCTTCTCTCACGGACCTGTGGTGTGGCCAGGCTGGTTCTGGCAAAGGGAGCCATCAAACCTAGGCCAGTTTGCAATCTCAGCAGAAGAAAAGGAAATTATACAGGGGTGGGCAAAAATAGGTTAGTTCTGAGTATGGGAAACAGAGTTTATTCTTATATTATTACTTATTATTTATTATATTATTTTCCATGGGAACAACTGTAAGCCTACTTTTGCCCACCCCTGTAGAGTGTCATTATCTTGTGTATAATTTGAAAGCACACACATATATCTAAATAAACAGATGAAGGATAAACTGGTAGTGGAAAAGGAAGATAAAGGGGGAAAAAGGGATAAAATACAACAGAGGCTTGCACAAACAAATGGTGATAGTGTTTTATGAGGAGAAAATGTGGTGCAATTGGTTAAGGAGTCAATTATAAATACATTTATCCTTTGACTCAGCAACTCCACTTTTGGTAATCTACACTAATAAAAGAGAAATATTCAAATTGACCATACCTCCATGATGCCCATCAGCCAATCAGGAGTGGGTATACAAATTAACCCAACAAAGATGGTGGGTTAATTTGCATACACTAACACCAGGCATCCAGGTGGGGCAGGACACATACTATGAGGGGGAGGACAAGGGAAGAGAGAGCTACAGGAGCAATACTCCAATTGGGAGCAAGGACTTGCAGGCTCAGCCAGGAGCCAAGCCATGGAAAGGAAGGCCTATTCTTGCACAAATATTTGTGCAACGGGCCTCTAGTCTCTATATATAAAAACCTAAGTGTCTGGTCAGCCATCCAACCAATAGCTGTGATGTGCACTGACCACTAGAGGGCAAATGCTCATTGTAGGAGCTGCCATGATGCACACTGGCCATATAAAAAGAAATTGCACTACAGACCTGGTGCTGACAAACCAACACTCAGCTTCCCAAAGTGTGACATGGGCCCCATCACCACCCCAGAGTGACACCCCACCAAATCAAAGCCAATGTTGCCGAAACTCCATGGTGCAAAATGCAGCCCACGGTCCAGCCCAGCCCAGAAAGGGTCAATATGGGCCCTGGGTAATGACATCACATAGCAATGCCTAGCTTCCTTTCCCTAGTGACTAGCCTCCTTGCAGTTTCTTCAGCCCAGGCTCACGATTTGCTTCATAGGCAGGTGCAAACATTTTACACTTTAAACAAATGTCTGTGAAGCGTTTTCCCGAGCATCATCTCATTTGATCCTCACAGAAGTCCTGAAAGGTAGGAGACTGAATAGAATCCTATTTTCTTTTCCTTAGCTGGAAAATGGAGATTTAGAAAGTTAGTAACATGACCCAACTGAAAAGAAGGAATGGTAGAACTTGAAAATGACTTCAGATTTTCTCACTGTGCAGAATATAGTCAAACACTGCTGCAGCTAAATATTTTATCCTTTGTTCTCCCTGAGTGATCTACAATAATAATCTGCTTCGTGTTGATATTTACTGCTGTGTTGCTAACAATTACTTGCAAGAGAAGTTGAGGTGCTTCATTGGGCTGGAAAAAAGTTTAGCTACAACAGAAAGCTGGTCTAATTAAGCAAGTTTATTCTCTATATATAAAAGGCTAAGTTGACTCAAGCATGGGTGATACATATAAAGCTCTCCCTGGTGCCAACTGCACATGTGTGTTTTGATGTGTCATTGTTGATCCTAAATTTGGTGACACTTCTATTATAGAGAAAGGGTGAATAGCAATACTAAAATATTGTTCTCATTAATTTCCTTTTAATGTGCACAAATCCGTGCTCTGGGACACTAGTTTACTCTATAAATGTGTATATGTGTGCACACATACACACACACACCCACTGATGCATGAGCAGTATGAAATTGACAGAGTAAGAATCTAAACCCATAGCTGTCTTAACCCAAAGTCTGGTTTTCCTATCACCCATGACCTTAGGTAGCTCGACTAGGATGCCAGTCAGGGTGAATGCTACCTGCTTTGTCATCCAGCTGAGCCTCTGGGTCCTAGTGTGCACCATCTGACAGAATGAAGTACCCATTTCTCAATGATTCTTGCCTCTGGGCTATAGTGACAGAGATCATACATATTCCAAGCATCTTTTCTATTTTGTTCTCAGTTTCAGGATGAAGTTAAACTGGCATCCTACCTGATAGCAAGGAGAGCAAGTAAGGTCAAGTTCACACTGAGTGGCAGAAGGGTGACCATCTGAGATAGACAGTCTTCTATAGCTGATGTGATGGGATGCTAATTAATTAACAAAATGAGTGAATGGTGGGCTGGGA